AAAACTCCTAATCTGTATTATTATTATTATTATTATTATTATTATTATTATTATTATTATTATTATTATTATACACACACACATACACACACACACACACAATCTCGTTCATATATAATGAGAGAGAGGGAAGGAGAGGAAGAGACAGAGATGATATGGATATAAATACAAAATCTGGATCACTGTGAGCTACAGATTAGGAGCTCAAACTCCTAATCTGTAATAATAATAACATACATTCACTCACACACACACCTCATATATATATATATAAATTTTAGAGATAGATAAATAGATAGATGGATTAAATAGATGAGTTTATAAATCTAAAATCACGACCACAGTGAGCTATAGATTAGGAGCCAAAGCTTTTCTCCAAGGACAAGGAAGAGATTGTGTGTATGTATGTATAGATATTATTATTACTATTATTATTGGAAAGTATCCGACGTGTGATCCAATACAACAGCCAGCAGAGTGATCTTGTCTGCTGTGGACTCATCTTGTTGTGTTTCTAATAATAATAATAATAATAATAATAATAATAATAAATAATCACACAGTCCTAGACATTGGGAAGTGATCCAATACAACAGCCAGCAGAGTGATCTTGTCTGCTGTGGACTCATCTTGTTGTGATAATAATAATAATAATAATAATAATAATAATAATAATGGTCCTAGACACTTGGGAAGTGTCCGACGTGTGATCCAATACAACAGCCAAAAGGATGATCTTGTCTGCTGTGGACCCATCTTTTTGTGTTTCAAAGAAGAAGAAGAAGAAGAGGAGGAGGAGGAGGAAGAAGAAGAAGAAGAGGAGGAGGGGGAGGAGGAGGAGGAGGAAAAGGAGGAAGAAGACGAGGAGGAGGAGGAAGAAGAAGAAGAAGAAGGGGAAGGGGAGGGGGAGGAGGAAGAAGAAGAAGAGGAGAGAGGAGGAGAGAAGAAGGAAGAAGAAGAAGAGGAGAGGAAAGAAGAAGAGGAAAGAAGAAGGAGGAAAAGAAGAGGAAGAAAAGAGGAGGAGGAAGAAGAAGAAGAAAAGAAGAGAGAGGAAGGAAGGAGGAGAGGAAAGAAGAAGAAGAAGAAGAAGAGAGGAAGAAGGAGGAGGGAGGAGGAAAAAAGGAGAGAAGGAAGAAGAAGAGAAAGAAAGGAGGAGGAAGGAGAAAAGAAAGAGAAAGAGGAGGAGGAGGAAGGAGGAAGAAGAAAAGAGAAGAGAGGAGGAGAAGAGCAAAGAAGAAAGAAAAGAAAAGAAAGAAGAAGAAGAGGAGAGAAAGAGAAAAAGGGAGAGGAAGAAAGGAGGAAGAGGAGGAGGAGGAAGAAGAAGAAGAATACAAAGAAGAAGAAGAAGAAGAAGAAGAAGAAGAAGAAGAAGAAGGAGAAAAAGAAAAAGAGGAGGAGGAGGAAGAGGAAGAAGAAGAAGGAGAAAGAGAAAAAGAGGAGGAGGAGGAGGAGGAGGAAGAAGAGGAAGAAAAAGAAGAAGAGGAGGAGGAAGAAGAAGACAAAGAAGAAGAAGACAAAGAAGAAGAAGAAGAAGAAGAAGAAGGAGAAAGAGAAAAAGAGGAGGAGGAAGAAGAAGAAGAAGAAGAGGAGGAGGAGGAGGGGGAAGGAGGAGGAGGAAGAAGAAGAAGAAGAGGAGGAGGAGGAGGAAGAGGAGGAGGAGGAAGAAGAAGAAGAATACAAAGAAGAAGAAGAAGAAGAAGAAGAAGAAGAAGAAGAAGAAGGAGAAAAAGAAAAAGAGGAGGAGGAGGAAGAGGAAGAAGAAGAAGGAGAAAGAGAAAAAGAGGAGGAGGAGGAGGAGGAGGGAGGAGGAGGAGGAGGAAGGAGAAGAAGGAGAAGAAGGAGAAGAAGGAGAAGACGAAGCGACCTTCACTGGTCTAACGGGAGAAACCTTCCAGTTGGATTTCACTTCCTTCCACCCAAACCTATGGGAGGAAAGCAAGCAATCCCTTTTCTTTCAGAGTCCAAACTCTTCCTTCAGCTCAATTCCTCTAGGGCTTTTCCTTCGAAGATAGCCAAACTTTGCCTAAATCCGGGTGGGTTTGGGGGGGGGCGGATCTGCGAGCAGTTTTTTTGTCCTTTCTAAGGAAACGAAGGGAGAGAAAGAAAGAAGGAAAAATGAAAGAGAAATGAAAGAGGGGGAAAGAGAGAGAAGGCGGCAGGGAGGGAGGAGGAGGAGTGTGGGGGGGGGGGAGAGAAAGAAGAACCCAGATCAATATTGTCACCCTTGATGGGGAATTTATTAATATTTGATTTCAAATCTCGTCCGGGGCTTCCGACACGTCCTGCTCGGTGGATGGCGCGGTCGGGAGAGGCTCGGCTGTCTCCGGCATGATTTTTTAATGACTTTCCCAGCTGCTTCTTTCCATTTTCCACCGTCAACAACCATCTGGTATCTGATTAGCACCTCAATGCTCATTTAGCATTCGCATTTAGGGAAGGGAGAGGAGGCCCGGCGGTTTAAGGAAGCGGGGGGGGGGGGGGGGGGAGAGTTAGGGAAAAAAAGAAGGGGGACCTTGCAATTGTCTCGACTTCATCTCAAAAAGATCCAGTCCTGGAAAAGATCGGGAAAGATTTCCTGCTCGGAAACTTCAGCTAGGAAATTCAAGCCTGGTATCCTCACTTGTGTTTGCTCTGATTTAATACTCAGCCTGGAAAACTCACAAGGTTTTTTGTTTGTTGGGTGTGCTTCGCCGTTGGGAAAAGGCTCTTTGGAAGACGATTTCACGCTCCTCTCGGCCTCGCTTTTTCGGGGGGCAAAAGGAGACGGATCATAATAATCCTCCCAACTAAAGAGAGTCCCTTTTCCATCCGAAGCAACATCGGAAAAAAGGGGGAAATGGGAGATACAAGGAGCCAACTTAAACGGGCAAAGGGACCCTGGCCAAAAAACGAAGGAAATGAAAGAAAAGCACAGCTTGAACATAGAGAGAGAGAGAGCATGAGAGGGAGAGAATGAGGGAGGGAGGGAGAGAAAGCGAAAGAGAGAAAGAAAGAATGAGAGAGAAAGAGAAAATAAGAGGGGGTAAAAAGAGAATGAATGAGAGAGGTAGAAAGAATGAATGAATGAGAGAGAGGATGAGAAAGAGAGAAAAAGAGAGACAATGAGAAAGAGAGGGAAAGAAAGAGAGAGAAAGAGAGAGAGAGAATGAGAAAGAGAAGGAAAGAAAGAGATAGAAAGAGAAAGAGAGGGAGAAAGAGAGAGAATGAGAGAGAAATAATGCGAGAGAAAGAATGAGACAGAGAGCGAAAGAGAGAGAATGTGTGTGAGAGAGAAAGAGAATGAGAGAGGGGGGAGAAGGAAAGCGATAGAAAGAGAATGAGAAAGAGACAGAAAGAGAAAGAGAGAGAGAGAAAGAGATAGAAAGAGAATGAGAGAGAGAGAGAAAACGAGAGAAAGAGAGAGAATGAGAAAGAGAGGGAAAGAGAGGGAGAGGGAAAGAAAGTGATAGAAAGAGAATGAGAGAGAGGGGGGAAAGAAAGCGATAGAAAGAGAATGAGAGAGAGTGAGAATGAGAAAGAGAGAATGATAGAGAGAGAAAGAGAAAGAGAATGAGAAAGAGAGGGAAAGAGAAAGAGAGAGAAAGAAAGAGATAGAAAGAGAATGAGAGAGAGAAAGAAAATGAGAGAGAAAGAAAGAAAGAGAATGAGAAAGAGAGCGAAAGAGAGAAAGAGAGACAGAGACAGAAAGAGAATGAGAGAGAGAGGGAAAGAAAGCGATAGAAAGAGAATGAGAGAGAGTGAGAATGAGAAAGAATGATAGAGAGAGAAAGAGAAAGAGAATGAGAAAGAGAGGGAAAGAGAAAGAGAGAGAAAGAAAGAGATAGAAAGAGAATGAGAAAGAGACAGAAAGAGAGGGAAAGAAAACGATAGAAAGAGAATGAGAGAATGAGAAAGAGAGGGAAAGAGGGAGAAGAGGAAAGAAAGCGATAGAAAGAGAATGAGAGAGAGAGAATGAGAGAGGGGGAAAAGCGATAGAAAGAAAATGAGAGAGAGAATAAGAGAGAGACAGAAAGAGAAAGAGAGAGAAAGAAAGAGATAGAGAATGAGAGAGAGAGAAAGAGGGAAAGAAAGCGAGAGAAAGAGAATGAGAGAGAATGAGAAAGAGAGAAAGAGAGGGAAAGTAAGCGACAGAAAGAGAACGAGAAAGAGAGAATGATAGAGAGAGAGAGAATGAGAAAGAGAGGGAAAGAAAGGGAAAGAAAGAGAATGAGAGAGAGAATGAGAATGAGAGAGGGGGGAAAGAAAGCGATAGAAAGAAAAAGAGAGAGAATGAGAGAGAGACAGAAAGAGAAAGAAAAAGAGATAGAAAGAGAATGAGAGGGAAAGAAAGTGAATGAAAGATGGAAAGAGAACGAATGAGAGCGAGAGAGAAAGCAAAGAGAGAATGAAATAGAGAATGAATGAGAGAGAACGCGAGAGAAAGAAGGAGAGACAGAAAGAGAAAGATAGAGAGAACCGGCTCCGTTTCTCAGTCGAAACAGGCGTGTTTCGGCCCCTGCTCTACTAGGAATGGTACACTCGACTAAAGTTGCTTTCCAGTCGAGATGCCACCTGCCTCCTGTTTTGTTTCATTTTGAACCAGTGAAGGGATTCCCACGCTTCTCGGTGCAAAGATTTCAAGTATTTTGGGGAAATATCTAGGTCCTTAATCTTTTTTTTTCCTGCCCCCCCCCCCCCGCCCTTCCCAATCCACACCCAATCTATCAATCCCATTGATTCGATTGGATCCAAGCCGCCCCAAAGGGTGCAACGCTCACAAGTAGCTTCTGTGTCAGGAAGAGCTCGTCAATCATTTCATTTCGTTTATTAGACAAAAATATACCATTTTAGACAAGTTTTGTTTGGCGTGGCACTCTGTACAATTCGAAACCGCTTTATATACAGAAGAAGAAAGACTTGGGGGTGGGGGGGGGTTAGAGATAACACAAACACGTGAGAGAAATCGTCACCGTGGGTTAGAATGACATCATCCTGGGAAACAACAGAATTTTTCAAAGATTGATTTCAAATGGATTGCAAAACAAACAAACAAAAAAACCAGGAAGTCAGTTAGATTCTTTCCAATATTTTTGTCCTTAAGTCAGTCTGTGAAATGTTCCTTTCCACCCAAAAAAAAATTCAAGAGAGAGAGAGGGGAGCACAAAAGAGAGATTAAAATTCACTTGCTGAGTCAAAGAGCTGTGGGGAAGAAAAGACAGACCCATCTATCAGTGGGAAAGCTCCCCATCTGCATCTAGGGAAAGGATCTCTCTCTCTCTTTCTCTCTTTTCTCCCTCTCTCTCCACATATATATATCTCTATCTCTATGTTACAGCAAATTAATGCAAGGTGACACGTTGTTGTTGTTGTTGTTGGTGGTGGGATTCAAAAAGCACACACACACACACAGTTTGGTCAAGTTCTGCCCCTCTGCAAAGCTGGCTTGTTGCTTTGATTTATGATAATGAGGGTGTGCTCGGATTAGTCTGTATTATCCCAGCACTCTCTTGCCTTTAAGTAAATTTCACTGAACAAGAACTCACTTGTCCCGGACAGGCTGAAAAGGAGATTTTAACTGCTGAGGAGGAGAGTCAGTCCTTGGTAGGTTTTCTCTTTCTGCGAGGGGAGGGGGAAAGAGGAGAAGGAGGGAGGGAGAGAAAGACAAGAGAGAAGAAGGTCAAGAGAAAGGCCTCAATGGGATTGGGCACAGAGAGGCAGGGAATGACACCAACAATGCAACAATATCCCTGTTAGCTGGTTTCAGTTTTTCAAAATAGAAGTGGGGTATAAATAAAAGTCTGGATCAAAGTCCAGACTAAAAAGTCTGGATATTTTCAGCTCTCTCTTCAACTCTTCAAAAGCCCTTCCAGCATACCAAGGCAGGAAATCCCACATTATCTGAGTGTGGACTCAGATAACCCAGTTCAAAGCAGATATTGATATCCTGGGATATAGTGGAAGGGCTCTAACAGAGACTAGAAATATTTGGGCAACCTAATTCCCCAAAATTTATTATTATTATTATTATTATTATTATTATTATTATTATTATTATTATAAATATATAAATATATAAATATATAAATATATAAATAATATATACATTATTATTTATGTATTATTATTTATTTTAGTATTATTGTTATTATTATTATTATTATTATTTATACCCCGCCGCCATCTCCCCAAGGGGATTCAGGGAGGCTTACATAAGGCCACGCCCATCACTACAGTAATAATAATAATAATAATAATAATTATTATTATTATTATTATTATTATTTATACCCCACCTCCATCTCCCCCAAGGGGACTCAGAGGGGCTTACATAAGGCCACTTCCATCAATACAGTAATAATAATAATAATAATAATTTATTTGTTCCCCTCCTCCATCTCCCCCAAGGGGACTCAGGGGGGGCTTGCATAAGGCCATGCCTATCAATACAGTAATAATAAATATAATAATAATTTATTTATAACTCGCCCCCATCTCCTCCAAGGGGATTCAGGGAGGCTTACGTAAGACCACTTCCATCAATACAGTAATAATAATAATAATTTATTTGTTCCCCTCCTCCATCTCCCCCAAGGGGACTGGGGGTGACTTACATAAGGCCACGCCCAGCAATACAGTAATAATAATAATAATAATAATAATAATAATAATATATTTATATCCTGCCTCCATCTCTCCCAAGGGGAGGGGGGTGCTTACATAAGGCCACACCCATCAATACAGTAATAATAATAATAATAATAATAATAATAATAATAATAATAATAATTTAGTTATATAGCACTCCATCTCCCCAGGGGACTCAGAGCGGTTCCCAGGTAACATCACAAAACATACAAAGTGAAAAAAAAAATAACCATAAGATTAACAAAACAAAATATAAGCATCAAAAGTGTCGCCATAACACACATATATTAAGCACAATATAATCACAAAAACACAACAGAAAATCAGAAAATAAAATTCATAAGATACACATAGCAGCCAGACCTTGAAGCTGTAAGGCTATTCAATGCTAATCAAGGTGGCCAGTTGCAACATTCACACTGGCCTCAAACATATCTGTATTGGATATGCTTTCAGCAAATACAAACAGCTGTCGGGCTGTCCAAAATAATAAACAAACAATACAAAATAATAATACAATACATCATTAGAAATGCCTTGGCTCTGATAAGAAATACAGTGGCTTTGAGGAATTGGCTTTCAGGGCCCTTCCACACAGCTATGTAACCCAGAATATCAAGGCAGAATAAACCACAAGGTCTGCTTTGAACTGGATTATCGGAGTCCACACTGCCATATACAGTTCTGGCCCAGCTTACTTGTCCAAAGGCATCTATCTCATAATCTAAGATCATCTGGGGAGGCCTTGCTCAGTCAACAGCACAAATGTTTCTGGGGAGGAGAGACAGGGCCTTCTTTGCGGTGGCCCCTTGCCTTTGGAACACACTCCCAAATGAGGTAAGATCTGCTCCCTCCCTCCTGGCTTTTAGAAAGAAATTAAAATCATGGTTTTGGGACCAGGCCTTTGGACAATAGATGTATGTAGAGTTTTAGAGAGACATAGACTGGAATGGCAATACAGACTGTTTTATTGTTTTCATGCTGTTGATGTATTGTTTAATTTATGATTTATGTTAATTGTGGTTTTTTATTGTAACTGTTATGTATCGGCATCATGTCAGGTGCCCAATGCAAGGCATTCAATTTTGCCATCTATGTGTAAACTGCTTTGAGTCCCGTCCACCCCTGAGAAAAGCGGTATATAAATGCTGTAAATAAATAAATAAATATAATCTGGTTCAATGTGGATTTTATATGCTATATGGAAGTACCCTTTGGGGTGATAAGGGCAGAATATAAATGCTGTAAGTAAGTAAATAAGTAAATAACTAAAGAGCCTTAGATAGCAGGTGGGACACTTTGCTCCATTTAGGCCTCTTGGGCCCCTTCCACTATATTAATACACAAATGTCCTATTACTATAAACTTCAGCACATATACCAATTGAAGTAATGAAGAAAATGCCAAGCTAACTCATATAATACACAAGTTAGGGAACAAACACATAGGGACAATTTATAACAGTGTAACAAACATAATATTCATGGGGTTTTTTTTCAAAATTATTTGTCAGATCTTCCAAAGGTTATGTGGACAAACTTCAACATATACAATATTGTCCCGTGTGAATTCAAGATGTTGAAGTTTGTCCACAGGACCTTGGAAGATCTGACAAATTGTTTTGGAAAAAAAAAAGAATATTATGTTTGTTACACTGTTGTAAATTGTCCCTATGTATTTGTTTCCCACGCTTGTGTATATTATATGAGTTAGTTTGGCATTTGTGCTGAAGTTTATAGTAATAGGGCCCTTATTTAGTTATTTACTTATTTACTTACAGCATTTATATTATATATCACACACACACACACACACACACACACACACACATATATATATATAATATCATCCCAAAGGGGACTTCCACACTGCAGTATAAAATCCACATTGAACCGGATTATATGGCAGTGTGGACTCAGATAATCCAGTTCAAAACAGATCTTGTGGTTTATCTGCCTTGATATTCTGGGTTACATAGCTGTGTGGAAGGGCCCTGAAAGCCAGTTTCTCAAAGCCACTATATTTCTTATCAGAGCCAAAGTATTTCTAAAGATGTATTGTTGTATTATTATTTTGGACAGCCCAGCTGCTGTTTGAATTTGCTGAAATATTTCTAGGGCCCTTCCACACAGCCCTATATCCCAGAATATCAAGGCAGAAAATCCCACAATATCTGCTTTGAACTGTGTTATCTGAGTCCATACCCAGATAATGTGGGATTTTCTGCCTTGATATTCTGGGATATAGGGCTGTGTGGAAGGGCCCCTAGTCTCTGTTCTCAATCATAATACTAGAAATGAGGAAACTAAAAACACAATAATTTGCTGTTGAAAGCTTTAATAGCTTTCTTGGCCAGAATCACTGAGTTGCTGTGAGTTTTTCAAGCTGTATGGCCATGTTCCAGAAGCATTCTCTCCTGATGTTTCACCTACACCAATTGCAGGCATCATCAGAGGTTGAGAGGTCTGTTGGAAATGAGGCAAGTGGGGTTTATATATCTGTGGAATGCCCAGGGTGGGAGAAAGAACTATTGTCTGGGGGCCAGTGTGAATGCTGCAATTTATCCCCTTGATTAGCATTGAATAGCCTTGCAGCTTCACGGTCTGGCTGCTAATTGTGTGGGGGAAAGAAAGTTCTTTCTCCCACCCTGGACATTCCACAGATATGTCAACCTCACTTGCCTAGTTTCCAACAGATGTCACAGCCTCTGGGGATGCCTGCCATACATGCAGGCGAAAGGTCAGGAGAGAATGCTTCTGGAACATGGCTATACAGCAACAACTCATACAATAGTTTGATCTGCAAAAAAACAACAACAAAAAACCCCAAAAAGCCAAAAACAAAACAAAAACAAAATAAAACAAACAAAAACTCTTCCCTCCTTCTCCCTCCCTCCTCCCCTCTCTTTAACCCAGTGGTTCTCAACCTGGGGTCCCCAGGTGTTGTTGGCCTACAACTCCCAGAAATCCCAGCCAGTTCACCAGCTATTAGGATTTCTGGGAATTGAAGGCCAACAACACCTGGGGACCCCAGGTTGAGAACCACTACTTTAACCCATTCTTAAGACTTCCTTCTTGAAAAATTCACTTTGCACATAACTCCTTCAATTTAATAGAAAGGGGTGATCAGAAGACAAACTGGAGCTTCTAAGGAATGTCATGCTTTTGGGGAGTTTTCTCCTGCTTCTATAAGCAACTGGATATGTTTCTGCTATCTCCTTTTGTTGGGGGGTGTGAGCTGTTAGGTTCAAAATAACCCTCAGTTGGGAGAAAATTAGAAGTTCCTGAGCTAGACATCAACACTGTGACAAAACTTTCCAAGGACCTCAGGGAAACTGAGAAACTGCAAGTTGCTTCTGGTGTGAGAGAATTTGCCGTCTGCAAGGATGTTGCCCAGGGGATGCCAGGATGTTTTGATGTGTTCCCATCCTTGTGGGAGGCTTCTCTCATGTCCCCGCATGGGGAGCTGAAGCTGACAGAGGGAGCTCATCCGCACTCTCCCCAGATTCGAATCTGCAACCTGTCGGTCTTCAGTCCTGCTGGCACAGGGGTTTAACCCACTGCACCACCGGGGGCTCTCCTTGATCTGATGACCAGTCATCCCTAGAGTGAGTTTCTGCAGTTTTTAAGTTTAGTTAATGAGAGAAATTTGATAGATGGATGGTGGAAAGCACCACAACAATTAAAGGATATTAAAATACAATGGGTACGCCCAGAAAGATAGGCTTTTAATTTATTGTGGATGTATTACTGTCGAAGTTGTGCGCTAATATTAAGTGTATTGGATTGTTTAGTCTTGTTTAAGTGATTGTTCGGTTATATAAGGATGTGTTGGGATGTAACAGTTGTTGGATTGGCACCTCATGTAAGATGCGCAGAGGAACATTGGGAAGATAGGGTGAAGACACGGGAATAAATAAAGAGTATTATTATGATTATTATTAGTAGTAATTATGATTAGTATTATTAGCTTTGGGACAGAAGGCAGAGTGGTGCCTACCTGGTCCAGCATTAATTCAAACGAAATATATTATTCCTCACGTCTTCTTCTCTTCTTTCCTTCCTTCATCTATCTCCATACTTTCCAGTCCAACCCCTTTCTTTCTGCCTGTCTCTCTTTTCTCCTTATCTCTTTACTTACTTTTTCCCTTTTACTGCCCTCTTTTCTCTACATCTTCCCCCTTCACTCCGCCTATTCCTTTCATTCTTTCTTTCCTTCCTTCTCTCCTCTTCCCTTCCTTCCCTTTTTTTCCCTTTCCTCCTTTCTCTCCTTTCTTCCTTCTCTACCTCTTCTTCTTCCTTCTCCCTTCCCCTTCCTTCTTTTCCTTTTTTCTTTCCTTCTCTCCTTTCTTCCCCCCTTTTTCTTTCCCTCCCTCTTTCTCTCCTTTCTTCCTTCTCTACCTCTTTCCTTCCTTCCTTTCCTCTTTGCTTCCATGCTTCCTTCTCCCTTTCCTTCCTTCTTTTCCTTTTTTCTTTCCTTCTCTCCTTTCCTTCCTCCCCTTTTCCTTCCTTCCTTCTTCTCCTTTCTTCCTTCTCTTCCTCTTCCTTCCTTCCTTCCTCTTTGCTTCCATGCTCCTTCTCCCTTCCTTCCTTCTTTTCCTTTCCTTCTTCCTTCCTTCCTTCCTTCCTTCCCTTTCTTTCCTCCTCTTCTCCTTTCTTCCTTCTCTACTCTTTCCCCCTTCCTTCCTCCCTTCCCTTTCCCTTTTCATTCCCTTTTTTCTTTCCTTCTCTCCTTTCTTCCTTCCCCCTTTTTCTTTCCCTCCCTCTTTCTCTCCTTTCTTCCTTTGCTACCTCTTTCCTTCCTTCTCTCTTTGCTTCCATGCTTCCTTCTCCTTCTCCTTCTTTCTTTCCCTCCCTCTTCTTTTCTTTCTTTCTTTTCTCCCCTTCCCTCCCTCTTTCTTCCCTTTTTTCTGTATTGTCATTTAGCTTTTGTCATTTAGCTTTTTGGGGCATTTTAAGTCCCTTCTGCTGTGTTTTTCAGTGTTTTTATGAGTGAAGGACAGAAATTGGGTTGTTAGGTGTATTGTGTTCAAATTTGGTGTCAATTCCCCCAGTGGTTTTTGAGTTCTGTTAATCCCACAAACAAACATTACATTTTTAAAATTTTTTATATAAGTTATTATTATTAATCTTTGAGCCTAATAGCTCAGATTTCCCAACAAAGCATTAATATGTTTGACTTTGAGGTTTGAAACCACTCAAAAGAGCAGCAGAACTCAAGAGTGATAGAATCCTAGAGTTAAGAGACCTCGGTGGCCTTCCAGCTCAACGTCCTGCTAAGAAGCAGGAAAATTGCTCAGAGGAGCTTGAGAGATAAGGCTCACTACTATGCCTCTTTCTCACCCCATCCATAATATCACCTATGTGTTAGGGCTGATCCTTCACAACGCTGAGGGTCAACACCGAGGGTCTCTTAACTCTAGAACTCTATCACTCTTGAGTTCTGCTGCTCTTTTGAGTGGTTTCAAACCTCAAAGTCAAACATATTAAAGCTTTGTTGTGGAATCTGAGCTATTAGGCTCCTATATTACCTATGTGTTTGGGGCTGGTCCTCTCTGAAGCCTTCTCAACGCTGAGGGTCGTTAATCTTTGAGCCTAATAGCTCAGATTTCCCAACAAAGCATTAATACGTTTTACTTTGAGATTTGAAACCACTCAAAAGAGCAGCAGAACTCAAGAGTGATAGAATCCTAGAGTTAAGAGACCTCGGTGGCCTTCCAGTTCAACGTCCTGCCAAGAAGCAGGAAAATTGCTCAGAGGAGCTTGAGAGATAAGGCTCACTACTATGCAAACCCAACATGCCTCTTTCTCACCCCATCCATAATATTACCTATGTGTTTGGGGCTGGTCCTCTCTGAAGCCTTCTCAACTCTGATGGGCAACACCGAGGGTTGTTAATCTTTGAGCCTAATAGCTCAGATTCCCCAACAAAGCATTAATATGTGTTTGAAACCACTCAAAAGAGCAGCAGAACTCAAGAGTGATAGAATCCTAGAGTTAAGAGACCTCGGTGGCCTTCCAGTTCAACGTCCTGCCAGGAAGCATGGTAAAGACCCAGAGGAATTTGAGAGATAAGGCTCACTACTATGCAAACCCCAGCCCAATAGCCCTCTTTCTCACCCCTTCCATAATATTACCTATGTGTTTGGGGCTGGTCCTTTCTGAAGCCTTCTCAACGCTGAGGGTCAACACTGAGGGTTGTTGTTGCTGTTGGGCGGGAAGAGGGTGGTTGTGATGGGCAGCGGCGGCGTGGTGGTGGTTAACTCCCAAAAAGGACCGGACGTTTAGGAGGGAACTCTGGGCGAGGAAGGCGCCATTGGTCCAGTTGTGGAATTTCCCAATCTGGCAAGTGTAGAGTCCATGGCTGGGGAGGAAAGCCGGGTGCTGGAGCTGGGCAGAGGCGTGGTTGGGGGGCGAAGGGGCGGCGGGCTTGGCCAGCGTGGCCCCGTCCGGGCTGGTGGCCGTCTCTGCCAAGGACCAGATCTTGGGCTTGTTGTGGAGCGGGCCCGGGAGGTTGTTCTGCCTGCTGGGGCTCAGGAGGCGCGTCGGGTTGTCCGAGGGCTCCTTCCCCTCTTTGGCCTTCTTCTCCAGCTGCTCCTCTTCTTCGCTTCGCTGCCGCAAGAGCTCGGCTTTCTCCTCTTCCTCCTCGTTGCTCTGCTCGCCGTCGTTCTCGTCGATTTTGTCGATGTCGATGCTCTCCAGGTCGATCTCTTCGTCGTCTTCGTTCTTCTCCGGGTCGCCCTCGTTGTCGCTGCCGAAGATGTGGTCGTCCTCCTTGCTCCGCGCCCCCCAGGTGACCTTGTTCTCCTTCTTGAGGCGGCGGCGGGCGTTGGCGAACCAGGTGGAGACCTGGGTGAGGGTCATCTTGGTGATGATGGCCAGCATGATCTTCTCGCCTTTGGTCGGGTAGGGGTTCTTGCGGTGCTCGTTGAGCCAGGCCTTCAAGGTGCTCGTGCTCTCTCGGGTGGCGTTCTTGGGCCTCCCGGGGTCCCCATACTGGAATTGCCCGTAGGGGTAATAGCCCGGGGTGGTGTGGGCAGCAAAGGTGGCAGGGTGAACGCCAGGGCTCTCCTTCAGCTCATACTGGGAGCCCTGCAGCACAGTCAGAGAAGCAGAGGAGGGGGAAAGAAAAGGAGGAAACCCCGTTTAGGACTCTTTTCCCACAAGCTTTTCCTTCCAGAAAGGGGGCTTTCAAAGGGGGGGGGCACCTCTTTGTGACATGCTTCCTGCCCCACGGAATCCCATCCTAATCCCCATCCAAAGAGAATAATAATCGAGAATGATAATAAATAAATATTGTTATTATTATCATCATCATATCAGTGCAAACCACACAAGCCCTGGCTTTTCCTTCCAAAAGGGAGCTTTTTAAAGGGGGTGCTCTTTGCCTCCTGCCCCACGGAATCCCACCCAAATCCCCATCCAAAGGAGCAGGCCACTGATCCACACCGAGAATGATTATATCAGTGCATCCCAGGCTGATGGGGCATAGTCTGGGGCCCCTTCCACACAGCTGAATCAAATCCCACATTGTCTGCTTTGAATTGGGATATATGGCAATGTGGACTCAGGGCCCAGCCATATAACCCATAATATCAAGTTAACAAATCGCACATTATCTGAGGGGGGACTCAGATAATTCACTTCAACGCAGATATTGTGGGATTTTCTGCCTTTATGTTCTGGGATATAAGGCTGTGTGGAAGGCCCTCAGATAACCCAGTTCAAAGCAGATATTGTGGGATTTTCTGCCCTGATATTCTGGGATATAGGGTTGTGTGGAAGGCTCTCAGATAACCCAATTCAAAGCAGACAATGTGGGATTTTCTGCCTTGATATTCTGGAATATAAAACTGTGTGGAAGGCCCTCAGATATTCCAGTTCGAAGTAGATATTGTGGGATATTTCTACCTTGATATTCTGGGGTATAAAGCGGTGTGGAAGGCCCTCAGATAACCCAGTTCAAAGCAGATATTGTGGAATTTTCTGCCTTGATATTCTGGGATATAAGGCTGTGTGGAAGGCCCCCAAATATTCCAGTTCGAAGCAGATATTGTGGGATTTTCTGCCCTGATATTCTGGGATATAGGGTTGTGTGGAAGGCTCTCAGATAACTCAATTCAAAGCAGATATTGTGGGATTTTCTGCCTTGATATTCTGGGATGTAAAACTGTGTGGAAGACCCCCAAATATCCCAGTTCGAAGCAGATATTGTAGGATTTTCTGCCTTGATATTCTGGGTTATGTCGCTGTGTGGAAGGGCCTGGGACAACTGCTCAGCTCCAGCAGCATTTCCAAGGACAAGATTGCTGTGAGCTTTCCGGGCTGTATGGACATGTTCCAGAAGCACTTTCTTCGGACGTTGGAACATGGCTATACAGCCCGGAAAACTCAGAGCAACCCAGGGCCCTTCCACACAGCCATATAACCCAGAATATCAAGGCAGGAAATCCCTCATTATCTGCTTCGAACTGGGTTATATGGCAGTGTGGACTCAGATAACCCAATTCAAAGCAAATATTGTAGGATTTTCTGCCTTGAAATTCTGGGGTTATAGGGCTGTTTGGAAGGGTCCTGGGTCTACAGTGCCATATTATCCAGTTCAAAACAGATAATGTGGGATTTTCTGCCTTGATATTTTGGGGTAATATGGCTGTGTGGAAGAGCCCTGAGTCTACAGTGCCATATAACCCAGTACAAAGCAGATATTGTGGGATTTTCTGCCTTGATATTCTGGGGTTATAGGGCTGTGTGGAAGAGTCCTGAGTCTACAGTGCCATATTACCCAGTTCAAAACAGATAATGTGGGATTTTCTGCCTTGATATTCTGGGGTTATATGGCTGTGTGGAAGAGCCTTGAGTCTACAGTGCCATATAACCCAGTTCAAAGCAGTTATTGTAGCATTTTCTGCCTTGATATTCTGGGTTTATATGGCTGTGTAAAAGGGCCCTGAGTCTACAGTGCCATATAGCTAAGTTCAAAACAGATAATGTGGGATTTTGCGCCTTGATATTCTGGGTTATAGGGCTGTGTGGAAGGGCCTAGAGTCCACAGTGCCATATAACCCAGTTTAAAGCAGATATTGGGGGATTTCCGCCTTGATATTCTGGGGTTATATGGCTGTGTGGAAGGGCCCTGAGTGTACAGTGCCATATAGATATTGTGGGATATTGTGGGATTTTCTACCTTGATATTCTGGGTTATAGGGCTGTGTAGAAGAGCTCTGAGTCTACAATGCCATATAACCCAGTTCAAAGCAGATATTGTGGGATTTTCTGCTTGATATTCTGGGTTATATGGCTGCGTGGAAGGGCCCTGAGTCTACAATGCCATATAACCCAGTTCAAAACAGATAATGTGGGATTTTATTCAGCCGTGTGGAAGGAGGCCCCAGTGATCCCGGCCTTCGACAACACATTTCCAAGGGCAGCTTACAAAGAGGGTCTGATGTAAAGGAGAAGAGGAGAGTCTGGGTCGCACAGGACTTCTCTCACACAGAGAGACAGCAAACAGCACAAACCAAACTGACCCAGGTTCAGCACACAGCCCACATTCATCTGGTTCCAGTGTGTATGCTTCCCTTTCTCCCATTGGAATCCATTGGACTTCAAAATGCGAAACTTTTAAAGCCCTGCATTTCAGTCACACAATACTCTTGGGAGCCAAAGCCAGAGAAAAGAAGAGTCTTATTTCCAAAAGGAGATATGGCACTGCTTCCTCTCCTCTTTTCCTCCAAAACAACCCGTTTTCATCCTTGTTTTTTGTGTATATTTTCCCCCCTGTTGCCAGCTTTTCCCGGCAGTGATTTATTTTCCCAATCAATATCCTTTTTATCATCGGCAGTAAAACAGAGTGAGGTCACATTAGCCCATCAGGTGTTTTGGTTAAATAACATTTTATCTTCCTAACAACCTCATTAGGCCTCATGATTACTGCAAATTGCACCCGGCAGAAGGTTTATGAGCGGGTGCCTCAAACTTCTCTCCTGAACTGGGCCAGGCTTTCTAGGGGGGCTTCCACACAGCCACATAACCCAGAATATCAAGGCAGAAAATGCCACAATATCTGCTTCGAACTGGAATATTTGGGGGCTTCCATACAGCCATATAACCCAGAATATCAAGGCAGAAAATCCCACAATATCTACATTGAACTGAGTTATCAGAGGGCCCTTTCACACAGCCCTATATCCCAAAATATCAAGGCAGAAAATCCCACAATATCTGCTTCGAACTGGAATATTTGGGGGCCTGCCACACAGCTATATATCAAGGCAGAAAATCCCACAATATCTGCTTCGAACTGGAATACTTGGGGGCCTGCCACACAGCCATATAACCCAGAATATCAAGGCAGAAAATCCCACAATATCTGCTTCGAACTGGAATATTTGGGGGACTTCCACACAGTCATATTATCCAGAATATCAAGGCAGAAAATCCCACAATATCTGCTTTGAACTGAGTTATCAAAGGGCCCTTCCACACAGCCCTATATCCCAGAATATCAAGGCAGAAAATCCCACAATATCTGCTTCTAACTGGAATATTTGGGGGACTTCCACACAGCCTTATATCCCAGAATATCAAGGCAGAAAATCCCACAATATCTACTTTGAACTGAGTTATCAGAGGGCCCTTCCACACAGTCCTATATCCCAAAATATTAAGGCAGAAAATGCCACAATATCTGCTTCGAACTGGAATATTTGGGGGCCTGCCACACTGTCATATTATTCAGAATATCAAGGCAGAAAATCCCACAATATCTGCTTTGAACTGGGTTAACTGGACATATATCCCAGCTCAAAGCAGAAAATGTGAGATTTTATTCAGCTGTGTGGAAGGGGCCTAAGAATTGCTGATGGGGGCAAACACTGGAAAACCTGCCCTAACGTATTAATATTAATATATATGTGTATATATGTATGTATATACATATACATATACATATATATATATACATACACACACACACACACACATTTGATCCTCTTCCCTTATTTATTTAAATTATGCCCACAATGAGATTCTGCATAATTTTTATCCCATCCCTTTTTTGCATCGTGAAAGTATGCAAGTTTGCAACAAAAACACACACTACACAAAAGCTTGGGAAATTTTTAAGAGCATGGAAGACTTTTGAGGTGAAATGGATGTATGGAGAGGGAAGAGATGCCATCTGGAAAGGAGCAAATGTAATTTTTTTTAATGATAACTCTTAACAAGGCGTGCTCGTTATATCCCTCTTGATCTCCTTGAGCGATTTTTGTTTCTTGGGGACTGAAATGATACATTTGGTATCCCTCTCCTGGGAGTCCTTTTGAAGTAGCCACTTGAAAATCATTACTGCTCCTGCTCCCCATCATTTACTGTTGCAGAGGGAGCCAGGGTGGACTTCCAGCCTCTCCCTCTTGTGTTGTGCTCTGCATTCCAAGTTAGCTTGCTTTACTGTTGGGTTTATTTTCTCCATTTCTGATTATTTGGAAACACTTAATAAAACCCCATATCTATCTATCATCTATCTATTTATCATCAATTAATGTATGCATATATATATATATATATATATATATATATATATACACACACATACATACACACACACACACACAGGATATATGTAAACCCAGAAACACACACACACAAGTTTTTATAAAAGTATTTGTGAGTGTGTGTGTGTGTATGCATAGATAGATATTATATATATATACACACACACACACATACAATTTTTATAAAAGTATGTGTGTATATATGTGTGTGTGCATAGATAGATTATATATATATACACACACATACAAGTTTTCATAAAAGTATTTGTGTGTGTGTATGCATAGATAGATAATATATACATATATATATACATACATACACATACAAGTTTTTTTTAAAGTATGTGTGTGTATATATGCATAGATAGATTATATATATACACACACATACACGTTTTTATAAATGTATATATATATATATATATATGCATAGATAGATTATATACACACACACACACACAAGGTTTTTTTTTAGAAAAGTATGTGTATATACACATATATCGACAAATACACCTATATATAGTTTAGATTTAATATATTTGTATAAATCGGAGAGGAGGGGAAGATTGTAAATAGGAACACGATTTCCATTCACACCTCATCATAAAGGTAGCTTATTTCCTTTTATTATGATACATTTTTTCTTGCTGATTCGATATCAATATTTCCAATTTATGATTGGAAATGACCTGTTCTAAATCTCCAAGGCGTCTCGGGATATATATATATATATATATTAAGTGAGTTTCATCTGCTTAGAAGGCAACGATAAAATAGCCACAGGGCTGTATATTGCCTCTGAACCTGTACATTGTCTCCTAAAACTCCCTGCAAACCAGGACCACCATTGACAAACCTCAGTTAAAAAATCGCAAGATCTCCACTGAGTTATTCACCATTAGAAAAGGAGAAGAGGATCCATTATTTATCATTGTCATGTGCTGCTCTGTAAGTCCCTTTTGGGAGATGGCGGCGGGATATAATTAAAGTTATTATTATTATTATTATTATTATTATTATTATTATTATTATTTTGGTTAAATGGGGAGGGGAGAGGTCAACTGTTCCTGGAAGAAGTTCGAGGAAAAGGAGAAACAAGGGGATAAACTATTATTATTATGATTATTTTGGTCAACTGTTCCTGGAAGAAGCTAGAGGAGAAGGAAAAACAAGGGGATAAACTATTATTATTATGAATTATTATTATGGTTAAATAGGGAGGGGAGAGAGGTCAACTGTTCCTGAAAGATGTTCGAGGAAAAGGAAAAACAAGGGGATGAACTATTATTATGATTATTATTATTATTTTGGTTAAATGGGGAGGGGAGAGCGTTCAACTGTTCCTGGAAGAAGTTGGAGGAGAGGGAAAAACAAGGGAATGAACTATTATTATGATTATTATTATGGTTAAATGGGGAGGGGAGAGAGATCAACCGTTCCTGGAAGAAGTTCGAGGAAAAGGAAAAACAAGCTGATAAACTATTATTATATACTATTATTATAATTGATTATTTTGGTCAACTGTTCCTGGAAGACGTTCGAGGAGAAGGAAAAACAAGGGGATGAACTATTATTATTATTATTATTATTATTATTATTATTATTATTATTATTATTATTATTATGGTTAAACGGGGAGGGGAGAGAGATCAACTGTTCCTGGAAGAAGTTCGAGGAAAAGGAAAAACAAGCGGATAAACTATTATTATATACTATTATTATAAACTATTACAAACTATTATTATTATTTTGGTCAACTGTTCCTGGAAGAAGTTCGAATAAAAGGAAAAACAAGGGGATGAACTATTATTATAAATTATTATTATGGTGAAATGGGGAGGGGAGAGAGATCAACTGTTCCTGGAAGAAGTTAGAGGAAAAGGAAAAACAAGGGGATGAACTATTATTATTATTATTATTATTATTATTATTATTATTATTGTGGTGAAATGGGGAGGGGAGAGAGGTCAACTGTTCCCGGAAAAAAGAGGAAAAACAAGGGGGATAAATTAGCAAACAATGTCCCAATACTTTGCTTTTCTCCTTTATGTGTGCGTGTGTATAGAGGGCGTTGGGTGCAGAGGGTCCTAAATCGGCTGCGCTTTGATTGCTGGGAAATTAATTTCAAAACCCGGGGAAAGGAGTTCCAGCGCGAGACGCGAGGAGTTGCACGAGACGGTTCGAAGGGACATCCACTGCATTCGTTGGCAGGCTGGGAAAGAGAAGGAAACTCTCTGCAGGGGAAAGTGATGCGACCTCTTTCTTTCCCAGGAGGGCGATCTCTCTCTCTCTTTCTCTCTCTCTCTGTCTGTCTGTCTCTCTCTCTCACCCCCTCCCTCCGAAGAGGCCAAAGACTCACCATCTGCGAGAAGAGGCTGAGGTCGGCGGTGTAGGGCAAGAAGGCGCTGTAGTTGGGGGCGCTGTAAGGCCCGGCGGCGGCGGCAGCGGCGGCGTACATGCCCAGCACCGAGGTGACGGCCGCCGTGGAGCCTCCGCCGCCGCTCAGCTCTGTTCCGCCTCCTCCTCCTCCTCCGCCGCCGCCTCCTCCTCCGGGGCGGCCTGAAGCGGCGGCGGCTGCTGCTGCTGCGGCTGCGGCGGCGGCCAGCACTCCAGGCCGGTCAGTCCCGCCGTAGCTGGCGCTGAGGTATTGCGGGTAGCCCAGCTGAGGGAAGGACATGCCGGAGAAAGAAGAGGGGCGGCTCTCTCTTTCTCCTTTCCTTCTCACTCGGAGGGGAGGGGGGATGGCCACCCGCTCGAGCCCTCTCTGCTTTGGGGCTCCGCTCGGGCTTTTCCTCTTCTCCGCTTCTTTCTCTCTTGAAGAAGGAGGAGGTAGAGGAGGAGGAGGCAGCGGCGTGTGGACGGACTCGGCGGGGCGCCTTCCCTCCAATCTCGCCTCCTAAATCCCTCAGATGTGATCTGATCAACAATTGAGCTCCGACTGATGCGCCTGCCCTAAGGTCCTCGGCTGATCTTTCAGATACAATTTGAAGTTGATGCTTTGATTGGCACCCACTTGAGCGCCAAGCCCCGCCTACTACCTTCTCTCGCGCGCGCTCTCTTTGGCGCGCGCTGTCTCCTTCCCTCCTCCCCTTTTTTCCCCAACTCTAACGAACACGTGGTTGCCGAGCCAGGCTACTTTTTCCCCCTTTTTTTTTTTGCATTGATGTGTGCGCGTGTTTGCTTGCTTGCGCGCGCGCTTAAGGCAGCTGCGAGAGGCGTGCGCGCGCTTATTAAATGTTTAGCAATGGGTTACTTTTAAAAAGGGAGGGAGGGAGGGAGGAAAAATACACAGCACCACTACGCTGCTGTATGACAACCTGTCTACACGATTTTACAGCTGTCCGACATTGGGGTTTGGCTGTTTTGCAGCCTTGGTGCTCTCCCCTTCGTAAGAAGAAGAAAAGAAGCGGGATTGGTCCCCCTCCACACACACACCCCCATTGCAAACCAGTTCAGAACCTATTGGATGGGAGTGGTCCAGTCAATGGGACCCATTATTAATATTATTATTATTTTACTGACACAAAAACACAGTATGTCACAGCAAACTTCTTCTTCTTCTTAAATAATTATTATCATTAAATTATTATTATTAAATTATTATTTTATTAATATTATTAAATTATTATTATTAAATTGTTATTTTTATTACTACTATTATTACTATTATTAAATTATATCATTAAATTATTATTATTAAATTATTATTTGTATTACTACTATTATTACTATTATTTAAATTATTATTATTATTAAATTATTATTTTTATTACTACTATTATTACTATTATTAAATTATTATTATTAAATTGTTATTTTATTACTACTATTTTTACTATTATTAAATTATTATTATTAAATTATTATTTTATTACTACTATTTTTACTATTATTACAATTTTACTGTTATTAAATTATTATTATTAAATTATTATTTTATTACTATTATTACTATTATTACTATTATTACATCATCATCATCATCATCATTATTATTTGGAAGGCCAAGGAAATAAACTCACAACTTGACTCTTATTTTCCTCCCATCGATATATGCCAGCAAAGGGAGAAAAGTCTAAGGGAAAAAAAGACACAACCCTGTTCTTTCCAGGCATTTCATCCTTTCTTCCTTTGTGCCCAAAGAGGCTCGATCTACGCTGTCCAAGAATGCATTAAGGTCAATGTAGACTCATAGAATCCGGTTCAAGCTGCATTTTGTGAGTCAACGCTGACAACAGGCTGGTATAATATGAGATTCCCGGATGTATCGAGAATATTTTCGCAAAGGCGATGGGAAAGTCCTTTTTCGTTGCCTTTGGGTCAGAGGGAGAGAGGGAACTACAAGCTTTTTTTCCTATCCCTTCTAGTTTTCTCCCTAGCTTCTCTCCTACTGGATGGCCATCTGTCGGGGGCGCTTTGAATGCAATTTTCCTGCTTCTTGGCAGCGGGTTGGATTGGATGGCCCACGAGGTCTCTTCCAACTCTATGATTCTATGATTTTGTTGTCGAAAAGCAACTGGGGATTTGTGTGGTTTCCGAGCTGTATTTTATTGTCGAATATACAGCCCAGTATTTACAGTATTTTCTCATGACTTTTCGCCTGTATCTAAGGATGATGCCAGCCACAGATGTAGGCGAAACGTCAGGAGAGAATGCTGCCATACAACCACACAAATTTCCTATAGTTGGCCGCCTTTTATTCCGAAGACTGGAGGTTTCCAACAGACCTCACAACGTATTGTCGAAGGCTTTCATGGCTGGAATCACTAGGTTCTTGTGGGTTTTTTCGGGCTATAGGGCCATGTTCTAGAGGCATTTCTCCTGACGTTTCGCCTGCATCTGTGGCAAGCATCCTCAGAGGTAGTGAGACCTCACAACCTCTGAGGATGCCTGCCATAGGTGCAGGCGAAACGTCAGGAGAAAATGCTGCCATACAACCACACAAATTTCCTATAGTTGGCCGCCTTTTATTCCGAAGACTGGGGGCTTCCAACAGACCTCACAACCTCTGAGGATGCCTGCCATAGATGCAGGCGAAACGTCAGGAGAGAATGCTTCTAGAACATGGCCACAACAACCCTTGCAAGGGACTTGGAGGCTCTGTCAGGAGGAGGCGCTTTGGGGCTTTTCAAGAGAAGGGCAGAGTTACCTAAATAAGTATTGCTTCCTTTTAAGGACCCGCATCCCCCTCCATGTTTCCTTGGAAGTCGTCCCTTCCCATGGGATTGACTCCTCAGTGTGCGCCTCGGAGCTCCAGAATAGGCACGAGAGCGCGCGCGCGCACGCACAGGCGCGCGCGCCCACACCAGACACAATACACCTCCAGGCCCCTCCGATTTTAAATGCCTTCGACTCATCTCCGAGTCCGTGGACGTCGGATTTATCATTTATTCATCTCATTATTTCTACCCTGTTGGCCCTCAAAAGGGTTCCCATGATGGCTTCCCCTCCCGCCGGGTATAGAAATTAATATACACGGAGAATTTTGATTTAGAGTCATTTCCACATAAGCGGCCGGTCTCCTTTCTTTCCCCTCAGTAGGTTTGACTTCGGAGTCAAGAAACTACATTTCTTGGGCCGAAGAAGTTGAGGGGAAAAGAGGAAAGAGGCCAGCAGTCTGTTGGAATGTGTGGGGGACATTCCTCCCCCTCATAATTCAAATTTCAGGGGTTGTTTTTCCATGATTTGGAGGGGAAACAGCTTATTGTTTAGGAAACACCACTGAATTAAGTTAATTCTGGCGTCAGTCCTATTGATTCAACGCATTGGGATTCACAAGTGTACCAAGCCCTTTATTCCCCCGACTTTCCCTCTTTAATAATGTTTCATGAGGGAGTTCTTTTCGCGTTACTGTATTATTTTAATTATAATTAATTATTTTAATATATATCACAGACAATATTAAGAAAACAAAGGCTAAGGATAGCAAACAGCTATGTGTGAAGCAGGCATGTAAGGGGACGACGACTTGATGGACTTCAACCCCCCCCCCCCCGAAATTCTCGCGAGAA